TTTAATGAGTTCTACTATGCAACGTCAAGAATTCCTCGTTGAAACACACACAAGGTTAGGGATAGGGAGTATGAGATAATCAAGTACAAAAAATAGGAAACCAACAGAAGAAGCACTCAATTCACTACTTCAATGTTCAATCACTCTTACAATGCACACATCACAGCACACTTTCATGGAAAAATTACAGGGATCTTACTCATCATCGCACGTACGCATGTACATACAAACATTACTCAGTCTCTCAATACAGATTGCTCTTTGAAAGACTATACAGAGAGAGTTGATCAAAAAGATAAACGACTAGACGGAGAGGAGACATTTACTGCTGATTGATCAAGTAATAGAGATAATGGAGCAGACCGTTCGAATGATAGTGAGTAGGAGGAGAAACACAGCTGCATTGTCGTCTATTTTTTTCGGCAGCATCTTCTATTGATGAATTATTTCAAGGAACTGAAGAGGGTGCTCCTTTTGATTTGGAGAGGTGAGTGTTCACTTCTGTTAAAGGTTATTTTTTAGTAATGTTATGGCTGGTAACATTTCGGTCTAATTCTTAAACAAATGATATTGAGAGCATGTGCAATTGTTGCTTTTAGTTTCCAGCTTGTCTTAAAAATAGAATGACAGTATGAATAATCTTCTGTATTGATTCATTGAAATATACAAGCTAGGCTAGAGTTCTTATACAAACTGTAAAGATACAATCACATCCTGTAATTCCTACAAATCAGCTAAGTAAATATTTTTACAAAAGGAAAGAATAAAACGTTGATAGTCAACGATCACCATGCTACCAAATGGGAAGGAAATCATTCATATCATAACACTCCCCCTCAAGTTGGCGAGTGAATGTCAAAAATCGCTAACTTGCTCAACAAAAAACGGAACTGTTCTTTTCCTAAAGGCTACGTGAATATGTCTGCAACTTGCCTTGAAGATGGAACAAATTTGGTGACTACCTTTCCTTCTTGAATTTTATCTCGAACAAAATGACAGTCAATCTCTATATGGCGTGTCCGCTCATGAAAAACAGGATTAGCGGCAATGTGAAGAGCCGCTTGGTTATCACAGTGTAAAATAGCTGGGCCTATATCTTTAATACGTAAATCACATAAAAGACTTTGTAACCAAGTGAGCTCACAACAGGTAGCAGCCATTGAACGGTACTCTGCTTCTGCAGAAGATAATGAGACAGTCTTCTGCTTTTTGCTTTTCCATGAAATTAAAGAATCTCCAAGGAAAACACAATATCTGGTAGTAGAATGTCAAGTCACCGGACACCCTGCCCAATCGGCATCACAAAAAGCCTTCAATCGTAACAAACTTTGTGAGGAAAACAAAATAACTTGACTTGGAGTGTTATTCAAATATCTCAAAACACGTAAAGCTGCATCATAGTGAGGCTTGTAAGGATGTTGCATGAAACGACTCAACGTGTTCACTACAAAAGTAATATCGGGTCTAGTAATAGTTAAATATATCAAACGTCCTATCAATCTTCGATACATGGATGGATCGTGAAGCAAATCTCCATCATTAGGAAGTAGCTTCAAATTTTGTTCCATAGGGAAGCTAGCTGATCGTGCTCCCAAAAGACCCACATATTTCAAAATGTCCAATAAATATTTTCTTTGAGAAATAAAGATCCCCTTTTTTGAACGGGCAATCTCTATTCCTAAAAAATGTTAAAGGGCTCCTAAATCTTTGATGCGGAAGCGTTTATTCAAAAAAGATTTAAGAGAACCAATAGCCGTCATGTCATTACCAGTGATCAAGATATCATCAACATAAATAAGGAGAGCTGTGAATGGTTTGCCAACTTTTCTTGTAAAAAGGGAATAATCGGCTTTGGACTGTGTATACCCAGCTGCACAAATAGCCTCAGAAAACTTAAAAAACCACTGCCGAAAGGCCTGCTTTAATCCATACAAAGACTTGTGAAGGCGACATACCAAATGCTCCCCCTGTTTTATAGAGACGATGGTCCTCGGGATATCCATGAAGCTGGTAGCAAGTCTCCCTGGTGTGATGGTCCATGTCACAATAATCACAATGTAGCGGCTTGCGATTCCCTTGGCTACCACGACTGTGTTGATTACCTCGACCACCTTGAACTGCCATGGCTGCTCCTTCCACACTTGGTTGTGGGATGGCTGCAATTCCACGTTGCTTCTCCTCTTGGTTAACCATTGAAAAAACTTTGAGCACTAAAGGTAATGGCTTTACAAGCAGAATCTGACCTCTCATTGTTGCATATGAATCATCAAGCCCCATTAAAAATTGCATAACCTTATTCTGCTCCTCTTTCTCGTTACGGTCTTCCATGGCACCACATGAGCAGTTTTTATGGCTGCCGTAAGAAGATAATTCATTCCATAAACCCTTCAATTGGGAATAATAGTCAGACATAGACATCTGATTTTGAGTGAGGCGTGCAATGTCACGCTGAATCTCAAAAATTTGCGGGACGTTGTCTTGCGAAAAACGAGTCTTGAGGTCCTCCTAAACAGCATGTGCAGTTTCTGCACAAACCACACTGTTTGATAACCCAGAACTCACAGAATTTAAAATCCACATGAGACCCATGTCATTACAGCACTGCCAAAGAGCAGCTTCAGTTGCTTTGTTGTCTGACAGCTTCTTCACAGACCCATCAACAAAACCAAATTTGTTCTTTGCGCTAAGGGCAATACGCATTGAACGAGACCATGTGCTATAATTGTTTCCAGTAAGTGGAGTGGAAACAAGATGCATCCCTGGATTATCAGAGTGATGAATATAGAAAGGGCTTGAGGGATCGTTCAACACCTCAACCGACTTGGAGTCTCCCATGGCAAAAAAAGACAACTTTGCTCACAAGAAAAACCGAAGAAAAAGGAACTAAGAGAAACCAAGGAAACAAAAAAAATCCTAGGATCTTGGACTCTCTGGTACCATCTTAAAAATAGAATGTATTGATTCATTGAAATATACAAGCTAGGCTAGAGTTCTTATACAAACTGTAAGGATACAATCACATCCCGTAATTCCTACAAATCAGCTAAGTAAATATTTTTACAAAAGGAAAGAATAAAACGTTGATAGTCAACGATCACCATGCTACCAAATGGGAAGGAAATCATTCATATCATAACAGTTTGAAACAGAGACGGAAGGTTCAAAACTTCGCCGCGATGTTTTAGCAGAAGGTAATGTGAGTTCTGGAGGTGCCCCAACCGGTATAATATCCCAGCTATCTGGTCAAGAAGAGATGTTTGCTTTCCGTCCAGCAGTAAGTGGTGTCCTGTTTCTCTAGTACACTTGTTTCCGATTGCTTTCTCTTTTCCACTCGTAAGGGTTTGGTCTTCCTGTGCACTGAGGATGAATTATCTGTGTAGGTGTCATGCTTGATTGAAATGCAGATACCGGTATGTCTAGAGGGAGTCCATAGTCTTCATCCTTATTTCCAGAAACAACGCCGAGGATTTGAAAATATATCTTCACGGAACATACAGCGGCAGTCGTCGTACTAAGCCGTAGAATTGTTGTACCAATGTTGCTCCTTCCTGTACATTTTATGATTTTTCATTCATTATCTGCAATTTCAAGCACGGCGATGGATTTCTACGTGAATGGTGCAATGTAAATGACATTTTTGGAATAACAATAACAAAAAATAGCTACAAATCTTCAACAAAACAAACAAACTAGCGAAACAAGGACATAGCTTCTGAAAATAATTCATTGCAACAAAGTTTTTTTTTATTTTTTTTATTTTTTTATAACAAATTCATTGCAACTAAGTTTGAATTCTCTTTTTTATAAATTAGTGTCAAAATATATATTGTTTTTGTAAAAATTACGTTGTTACTAATTATAAAATATTTGTTAGTCTCTAACAAGCACGCTATTTTGTGAATACAAATTCCTTGAAAACTCTAGCACAAGAAACCAAAGCAGAAGGGAAATTGATCAGAATCACATGGTTTTGCTTGCATAAGGAATGAGGTGTACGTAAAGTAGATGCGAAAAAGAAATTTTGGTTGCTACTCTTTCAGTTGGTATCATCTTTGACTCTTTGACCTCGCAGTCTATAAGAAAATAATAAAATAAATAAATTATTGTTTTGGATAGCATGAGATTATTGATCCTCGCGAGATAACCACCATGCCACTTACTTTTGAAGTCGATAAACACATTTTCTATCTTTTAAATTGGTGAAATCATGATTCTCTGAATCTGATGACTTGAAGTTAATCTCAAGCCTTTAATCGTGATTTGCCTCCATTATTTAATTGTTTGGCGGCTAAATAAGGAATAGATACTATTAAATAGTACTACAATCTAACGGTATTTTTTTTTTACTAGTAAAGAAAAGTTTCATATTTGACTCACACAAATGACGATAAAGTATTATATGTGTTGAGTTCAATACTTAGTAGTTGACCTATTGTGCGGTCTAGCTCAATCCTCCCACCTCTTTTAATAGAATAATTCATCTTCCTTTAGACCATCTCCAATGGTTGGGCTAAAAGTCAAATATTTTAACCCGAAAAATTTAGCTTGTAGCCCAGAAATAGTTTTTCTACTCCAACCGTTATAGCCTAAACTTTTAGTTCGGAATTATTAAAGAATGAAATTAGACTATTTTTTTTCTTAAATTAAATTTTTTAAAAAATAAATAAATATGTAGACTATTGTAAATTAATTTTATGAACATTTTAATCTAAAAAAATTTAAATTCAGATAAATATTGAAAAATCACTAAATTTTCCACAAGCAAGACTTCAACTTTCACCAATCTTTCAACCTTGGGCTAACTTTCAATTCACCAACCGTTCAACACCAAACTTTCAACTTTCACCAACCGTTCAACTTTCATCAATCATCCTTTATATAAACATATGTCCAATGTTTGTTGATCACACAACCTTTCAACCCTCAAACATCCTCTATATTCACCAATCTTTCAACTTTCAAAGAGTTTTTGTTTCCTAAAAATCCTCAATGTCTCATCAATGGGTGATAGAAGAAGGCATAGCATGGCAATGCAGATGGCACAATACCAAGCAAGGATCGAGATTGAGGATGCAGAATTGTTCAACGCCGAAGTTGAACTTGTCAACTCGTTTATGCAATCTGAGCACCATGGCGAATCTAGCCATTGTGGTTCTGTCACGGGGCATTCATATGTGCAGCGTGACAGAGAAGAGTGTCATGACATAATGATGAAAGATTATTTCATCGAGTGTCCGAGATTTCCTGCTCATGATTTTCGGAGGCGGTTTCGGATAAGGAGAGAGCTTTTTGAAAGCATCTTGAACGCAGTTGTCAATCATGACCATTACTTTGCAAGGAGGCTAGATGCCGTAAGCCGACAAGGTCTATCACCTCATCAGAAGCTCACATCTGCTTTTTGCGTGCTAGCTAATGGGTGCTCTGCATACTCAATTGACGAGTATTGCCGACTTGCAGAAAGTACTGCTATTGAGAACCTGAAGCGCTTCTGTAAGGTAATTAAATGTATATATGGAGCCACTTATATGGTTAGAACTGCTTATTTAAATTAAAGGCAATTAAGTATTGCCGACTTGCAGAAAATGCTGTTTATTTAAATTATGGTTAGAACTGCTTGATTCTTGTAGTGAATAGGGGTTCTTTCCTTGGATGATATTGGAAACAAAGTTTACTACTTTCTATCTTAAGTACAACCATTTGAGCTGGCCCGACTCAACACAAGCATGATGAGGATATTTGGAAGTTGGGATCGTGTGAGAAAATTTTGTGTATTATCGAATACATTTAGTAAGAGGACCGAGTCTTGTGAAATTACATAATTAATTCAAGCATTCGTGAAAATGTAGCATGCATCCAAAAGTTGATTAATTAGTGGCCATATACCAGAAGCAGAGATGTAAAAAACTATGTGTAAAATTGATCAGATAGTTCTTAGTTGCAGTAGTGGACATGATAATACACCACACATCATCCCACTCATCAATTATGATACAGTTGTTTGAGTCCTAAATTCCTAATAAGACGCCTAGCTTGTTGAAAAAGGGCTACAAGCCTACAAAACCATGCACATTCCGTTTTGTTTAGGACCACTGTTTTGTCTTTTGACTCAGTGGAGGTTCCATTTCGATAAGGTGCATGTGGCTAAAATAGATACATTCCACTCGTGGCTAAAATAGATACATTCCGCTCATGGCTCAAAGTGGAGAAAACAAATCAATCCAGAAACAACGAACTGTTTACACAGATACGACAGGGGATGCAATAGAGGACCGGGTTGCCCCTTTCCAAGTAAAGCCTTTAGCTACTAGCCAAACCTTTTCCTTCTTTCTTCCAATGGATGTTACTTTGGATGTATCTTAAGTAATCATACACTGTTTATATAAAAAAGTTATAACACATAATAATGCATAATTGACTTGAAATATTATTACCGTGACATCTACCTTGTATGTAAGAAAGGAAGTCAATACTGCATAGTGACTGTCATGGGCAAGATGGATAAGTACGGTTGATTAGGTGCTAAATGAAACACGTTTAAGGGCTACAAAATAATTGAGTAGAACAGAACTAGATCATCCAATTCAAAATTAATTGGATGATCTAGAGAGCAATCTCCATTAATTATGTGGTGTATTACTAGTATCCGTGGCTATGTCGTGTATTAGATTTTGCATCTTCAAGTATAGTCTAGTCTCATCCCCAAGAAAAAAAAAGGATATGTACGAAAAGTGTTGTTATCATTTTCCTATTTATAAGCATAGTACAAAAACTAATCGGGAGCGTGGTTTCCATTATGATTAGTAAACGTGACATAAGTAATGTTATTTTTGTTTTAATTGGGATGTGGATGTATGATAAAAAATAATAATAAAAATAATAATAATAACTCTGCATATCATTTTATTGAAGACTAATGGACAAACTAAGAAAAGGTAGTATCAAATTAATATTACAATGTTTCTCTTATCATTATAAACTTGAGTTCAAGATGAACTACAAAGCCAGTATAATTGATAATATCCTCAGCTGTACGTGGTCATCATATATCTGGTTCAGGTGATTTCATATCCTGAAGATCAAACCATCGACATAAATATTAGTGTATGTGTGTGTGTATATATATGTATGTATATATAAGGAAAATGAATAGTAGAACTATAAGAGAGTGTAAAGTTTGTAGAGATATTTACTGGACATATTCGACGTTGATTCGTGTAGAAGGAGAGTGTGAGATCGCTGCAAAAGCATCAGTTGACATTGCTACTGTAGAAGGGCAAGGTGATTTTTTGCAAAGATCAACCACCTTCACGTCCACCGTAGCACCACCCTTGCAGGGTTTATTACGTCCACTCAGGCACCTCAGTCTATATCGCCTTCCACACGCAGCACCATTGTCCCACAATCCTTCACTCACCGCCACAAACAGGTTCCCCGGAGGGAATTGGTCTTGCCTACTCCCAAAGCACTTTGTAGCTGCACAACAATTACAATGGCATTAAGAAAAATGAATTGTCATTCATAATAGACCAGTTAAGAAATAGAGCATATATAACCTAAACTATATGTTTTTAGCAAAGTATCAGACATGTTACGTTGTCAAATTGTTAATCAAAATCATAAATAAATGTGTATGTAGTTCTAATTCACAATCTTTGATGACATAACATATTGGATATCTTTATCTTCATTGCGTTGAATTAATATGTTGTTTGCTCACGTATGTAAGGAGGACCGTAGGAAGTTGCAGTGCCGATATCACCAGAGACTAGCCTTACGTCTCTGCAGAATAAGCTTAACACTATTGACATGACTAAGAGCCTCATGTTCACAACTAAGTTAGAAAACATATACATTCGTTTTGGGCATGGCTATATATAAAGGCATTGGAGCTCCTCGCTCTCTCTCTCTCTCTCTCTCTCTCTCTCTCTCTCTCTCTAGATTTAAAAATGTTCAACTGCTAAAAAACTGTTCTGCGATGGAGTAAGAATCATTCGCAGGTTGAAAAATCAAGTCAAACAGTTCAACATCTTCTAGAGTAAGGATACTTGCATGCATCTCTCAGGATGTCAAAAGTGTCATTGGCATGCCCAGGGGTTGCATATGAGTCCTTATTCCTCTCAGCCTTTTAAAGCTGTCATGGGGTTCTTTCAGAAAAGGGTATTAACTACCTCGGAAAATATGAGCTAATTACGAAGTCTCATGACATAAAGTAAAAAACATCACATGAAAGTAAAGTTTTTTTTGGACGAAACACGAAAGTAATGTGAATGCTGCTTTTTAGAACAAGACTTGGCTGCTCAACAATTAGCAGCTATTCTTGCTTATACCTAATTTTATGTGAACACGTGTTCAAATTTTAATTAAAAAAATCAAAACTTAAATACGTGTTTACATGAAATTGAGTATAAGCTGGCTGTTGAATTGTTCAGCAGCCAAGTTAACAATTTAGCAGCCAAGTTAATTCCTGCTTTTTAAAAGAAAGAAAAAAAACATGTCAGAAGCACTTTACTAATTTAAATTTGCTTTTGCAAATGCCGACGTTAGAAGGTGATAGTGACTCTGAAATGTACCAACAATCAGTCTTGTGAACGCAAATTTTTTTATAAATCATTTAATTGTGAACTATTTTTGGTACCCTTTTTTCATCAATGGAAGCATGGAAAATTTGAACCTGAGACTTCAACGTTTAGAAGGGATCAATGTACCTTAGGCTAAGAACTAGTTGATTTTTTTTACTTCATGTATATAGAAGAGAAAATCCAAGCCAAACTAGGCACTGTGTATGAACATGATAGAAGTGACCAAACCCGCTAATTACAGCATACTGTCAAACTTTCTTTTTTAATTAACATAATGATATTTTAAACAACTCTAATTTATGAGAAAAAGAAATCGAACTTGAGTGCAGTGAGCACACTGGCTTAACTAACCGATCTAATTCGAACTTGAGTGCCACTGGCTTAACTAACTGATCTAACCAACATCTGTCATCTAGTCTCGACAATTGATGACAGCTTAGATAGGTTGGAATTCAACAAATTTAAAAGTAGTAGTTATACAACTTTTGACCATTTGATTAAAATCTATCCTTTAGTGATTTCCGGAGCTACCGATACAATTATGCTTTGGAGATCCTCATCCTCATATGAAAGATTGCAGCAATCTCTTTTGGTTTCCAGATCAAGTTTGCGTTTCCAATCCTACTGTTTTCTCCAGGCCTCCCTTCCTCATTGTGCACACAAAAGCAAGGGATTTCAATGTCCAAAGTTTGGAACAACTTGGGATAGACATTATCATATATGACCCAGTACACTGACCTAATTCCTCCATAGATTAGAGTAGTTTAAATTACCGTTTTGTCAAAATATAGAATGTACTCTATAAATTCGTATTCATCTACATTTTCGTCAAATAGTTGATGCACGAAAGATTGAATTCGAGTCCGCAAGCCAACACAAGACAATATGTTTTAAGTTTTTCCGTCAAACAAAAATAAGATAAATGGTAATCTTTGATACAAATTCCGCGCCACCATTGGACGAAGTTGAAATTGTGCCAAGCCACTTAAGCCGGAACAAAGTCTCTAAGGATATTCTTAATCCCTTTTTTGCGTGTAAGTTACAAAGTTTAAAATTAAATTTTCTTATTTTTAACCACATATGTATACCACTATGCACTCAAAGTTTGAAATCATTCATTTGGGAAAGAAAAAAAAAAACATTGTCACTTAGTACTACAATCTAATGATATGTCTTCACTTGTAAGTGAGATCTCTTATATTCGATTATCATCATAGACGAATTTTAACCAAGTTATTGCAAGATCATTGTGAGGCTTAACACAACCTCTTTAGTGTAGATAATATCATTTGTTATAAAAAAAATAAAAAGAAGAAAAACCCATTATAAGATATTGGCCATGGCACCCGGAGGCCCTTAATTAAAAATAACGAAAAGTTGAAATAGCATAAAAAAAACGTGTTGGTTCAATCGGGACTGCCTAGCGGGCCATGATGGATCCAAGTGGCACCGACCTGTTATCCTTCCACCGCCGAGAGCGGGAAATGATCGTTGCTCTGTGAAGCCAGCCTTACGCGGTGCTCTCCACTCTAGGAACCAGGGAGCCCAGGCCTTCGCCCAAGCTCCACGGCCCAACTCCCAGCTTGGAATGGGCGGGCCAGAAAAGAGCCACATCGGACCCGGCCGGCTTAAGACAGAACCAGCGTCCCAACACCTTAATGTCCCCACTCGGGTTACAAGCTTGCGTTGCTAAGCTCGACGGGATGTGCGGCTTGTGCACAACATATAAAGCGTTGTTTATAGCTGCTGATTGTCGATGTGAGACAAGTTGTAGTTGTTGTGGTTCTCTCTTAACTTGTACTTTGGCAACTCAAAATTTTGGCCACATTTAATCAAATTGTATTTCTCAATCGCAACTTCGGGAGTTTGAGATTTACGTTGTTGTGGACAAACATTAAAAAAGGGATGAATCGACAATTAAAACTCCCAAAAGAAAAAAACTCAAAACGACAAGTGGTGTTCCTAAAGTTTAGATTCTGCATACTCTCACACAATTATCTTCCCATTTCTTTTTATTTAAGGGTAAAATTTCAAGTGATCATGTATATGGATTAAAGTTCCTGCAAGAAATTAAAAATAATAAGATTACTCAGTGTTGAGAAAAGGAAGCACCATTAGAACTACCTGGTGTGGGAGCGAGTGGGGTGATGCGGCTGTAGGTTGGGTAAGGACACTAAAACACTTGGATTTTGCTTCTGGAGGAGATGAGACTAACGCCGATCAACTAATTGGATCGATACAATCAAATCAATCTCATTTAAATGTTGATAATTATCAATTTAAGTTTTGACATTCACCATGCAACTCAACTCACTTATATTTCACTTGTGATTCATCAAATTTAGCAAAGATGATGAAAGGAGGAGTGCTTGCTGTGTTTTTCCTTCTCTTTTGTTTAAGCACTGACACAACGCTTGGCTGCTTCCGATTCCAGCTCTCCTGCTCCACCCAAAACACCGGCTCTCTCCCCCCATCCTAAGCTTGAAAAGTTCCTTGGAGCTTACCACACTGCTTCTGCTACTTGTTACGATGAGATTTGTGTATCTTATCGGACTCGATAACCGGCCATTCAACAAGATTGCTGTAATGCCATTGTCGAAAAGGAAGACGATTGCATTTGCGCCAACTATGTTTTCAGCGAAGTCAACATTTTTTCCGAGTTTTGTTGCACCACCACTGCTCCGGCAATGCGTCGCCGGCACCACCAAAATCAGCACCACAGATGTTTAAATGAGTCAGATGATTTGGGATTTTGGTATACGCCACAAAAGCATTCGAATTAAAACAGAGATTTACGGTAAAGAAAGCAAAAAAATACAAAAAGCGTTGGTTCAATTGGAACGGTCCAGCGGGGCATGATGGATCCGGGTGGCACCGACCCGTTATCCTTCCACTGCCAAGGGCGGGAGGTGATCGTTGCTCTGTGAAGCCAGCCTTACGCGGTGCCCTCCGCTCTAGGAACCGTGAAGCCTGAGCCTTCGCCCAATCCACACGGCTCAACTCCCGGCTTGGAGCGGGCGGGCCAGAATAGAGCCACGACAGACCCGACCAGCTGAGACCAGACCAGCGTTCCAACACTTTGATGCCCCCACTTGGGTTATAAGCTTGCGTTAATTAGCTCGGCGATTGGTGCTCTTTGCTCAAGGTATATAAAGCTTTGTGTTTAGCTGTTTATAGCCGATGTGGGACAAATTGTAGTCCTGGTTCTCTCTTCACTTGCTCCTCTATTTGGCAGCTCTAAACTATGGCCATATTTAAATCAAATTGCAGTTTTAAATATAAATTTATGGAGTTAAGATATACATTGTTGTGGAGAAACATTAAAAAGGGTTAAATCGAGAGTTTGAAGCTCTTTCCCACCATCAAACTCCCCATGTAAACAACTCAAAACGACCTTGTTTTGATTGTTTCATTCTTTTCTCATCATATCCTCACACAAATACAATTTTTATTTCTAATTTAGGTTTTGGAAAGTTTCAAGTGACGAGTGATATATGCTGAAAGAAATTAGATTTCTCAAAAAGTGTAGCAAAAATCACCATTAAAGCTAGCTTGTCAATATTCCCATTTTGCATCCAACCTTGTGCAGGTTTTCGAAAGACAATTGCTATTAGCACTCCAAAAATTTCATTTGGCACTCCAAACTTTTTATAATTATAAATAAAAGTACACTTGTGAGAAGTGTAGAATGAGATTTTTGGAATGCTAATAACAATTCGCTTTTGAAAAAACCAGATACAGCAATTAGTATAATTCATAATTAATCGTAAAAAAAATTATTACTTAATTCTCTTAACTTGTGTCTCACATTTTTCCTTCAATTAATTATGTCAAAAACAAAAATCAATCCGTCATCTAAACGGATCACTATCAAATAGTTCGATTCAAATTGGGTGATCACATATTCTGGTAAACAAGCTGATGAGAACCAAACAATTCAATGTCGGGTTAGTTCAACTTGTTCATTGGACATCAAGAAGTAGGTTTATGACATGTTGGTTTGGCAACGAAAAGGGGAGATTCGGATTCAAAATTTTATATATGAGAAAATATTTATTCAAGTACATCTGAAATCAATTCACAACACTCATAATCAAGTGCGGTTAAGTGTGTGAGTGAGGAAGATCATACATCAAACTAAGACGTTACAGTGACAATATTACAAACCAATCATGTTACGCTATGTTTAAAATTTAAAAACATGTGGTGATGTGTTATTGATTTGGAATGCCATGACGTCATCTGGAGGATGCAAGTCCTTCTCATGTGGAGTGAATTGGGGGTGGTAGAATTGTGAGGTAGGGGATAGGACACTAAAATCACTTGGGATTTGCTTTTGGTAAGGATGAAATTGCTTTCTAACCATCAAAATAAATTTTGACTGTGTATGCTAGACAAACTTAGACATTTTCGTCTATTTACTCCATAAACTTGTAAGTCATGTTCATTTCCACCCTAGACTTTTATTTTAGCCAATCATCCCGTTAAACTCTTACAAATATCCAATTGCCATACCATCATCAGATTTTTCATAATTTTCACTCATTTTCCCCTCCACATCACTTGGACAACAAATAAACCACTTAATAGGATAAAAACGTCATCCATATCACTTGGACCATACGTGAACCACTTAATAGGGTAAAAACGTGATTATTCTGCAATTAGATGAGTTGCTATAATAAAACACTGATAGAATTCGTCAACAAAAAAAAAATATTGAGTAATAGAACAGTGAGAAGGTAATTGATGAAGGAATTGGATCCCTTCTGGATCTCCTCTCTGGGGATCCTAAGATCAAAGCACACAAACCGTTAATAAAAAATCGTGCGGCTACAATTTAATGTTTTTATATTTTTTAAAAGTAAAATAATCTTATTTTGCGTGAAAAATATAAAAAAGAAAAAAACTATGGTCGCACGTTTTTTGATCAACAGCCTGTATGCGTTGATCTTTAGTATCCCCAGGGAGGGATCTGACGAGGATCCAAATAAGGTGTATATAGAGGTATTTGACTGAAATAAAAGGTCATGGTGAATTTTGAAAAAGTGAAACAATTTTAGGTGTAAATCTACGAAAACTTCAAAAATCAGAAATGGTTTTATTGTTATAGTTATAGTACCCGATTTTCGAAGAAGCACGTGCTAGAAGCTTTTTCAACTAGCACTTAGTACTCTTTTAGAAAACAGGTTTTCTAATAAAATTTCATAACTATTTTAATGAAAACGATTTTAGTAAAAAAATGATTATGAGCAAAAGTATTTTATAATTATAAAAAATCTACAAATCATGCCTATTTATAAAAGATAAATGTTAAGTAGACTTTTCAAAAAGTAGAACACTATATGAATATGAACTCTCTAACACTTCATATATTTTTTTATGCATCTTATAATATTTATAAATAAAATGACGTTAAATTGTAAAGTAATAGAATTTTAGTCTCACTGAATCTGCTTAGTATTTATCATTTTAATAAACCAAAAAGGAAAAATGTGAGTCAATCCTCGAGCAACCCAAACGCGACCTTTGCTTGCACAAGTGAGAGAATTAGCCTTAGGAACCTGGACGCAAAACCTAACTCCCTTTTCCGTTTCCCCTTCCCCATCCATCACCCACCTCAAGAGCCACCACCCCACCAAACCATTCCTATTCCCCACAAAGAAATAGAGAGAGGGGGCAGCGACTGTGTGTGAGAGAAGCAGAGAGAGAATCCAATTCCCACCTACCTCTCCTCTCTCTCTCTCTCTCTCTCTCTCTCTCTCCCTCTCCCCTTATTTTTCTCATCCTCTCTCACTCCTCCTCCCCCTTTCGTTTTTATCGCCTCCTTTTCCGAATCAGAACAAAACCCAAATTCTGTATCCCCATCTTCTGTTTGTTCCTCTCACTCATCTAATAAAAATGGATTCTTCGATTACCCATTTGCTAAAAGTCGAATCTTTGCCTCTCAAGCACTGTGAATCCGCTTGAAACCGTGGCAGATAATGCGAGTGTCTGTCACTAAGCCATAGAAGAAAGCGTTTTACATTAGGTTTTGATCAATGGGTAGGAAGCAAATCCAAGTTTTCGATGATAGGAGTGATGGGTTTCTATCTGTTTGCAATTTGGGAAATTTGGGATTTCAATGGAGTCCCGAAGAGGGGGGTTGCCATCCCGGAGGCTTATTTGCAAGCGTTAGCCAAGTGGGGATGGGCTTCGGGGTCTCGCCGGACCCTCCCAATCCACGACGTGATGGCGGGGCCGTGAAGCTTCCGTATGCCGAGCAGTACATGAAGTATGTGGAGGGGATTAAGAGTTTTGGGGTTGGGGAAGAGAAAGAGGTGGTGAAGAATAAGAAGGGCGGACTTAAATTGAAGATTAAGATTGCTAACCCTTCACTGAGGAGGCTAATAAGTGGTGCAGTAGCCGGGGCAATTTCACGGACGGCTGTGGCGCCATTGGAGACGATAAGGACTCATTTGATGGTTGGGAATTGTGGGAAATCTACTACTGAGGTCTTCAATGATATAATGAAAATTGATGGGTGGAAGGGGTTGTTTAGGGGAAATCTAGTCAATGTGATTCGGGTTGCACCGAGCAAGGCGATAGAGGTAGGAAGATTTCTTTCGTATTAACTTGTTTTAGGTGAATGACATGTCTGGTATCTTCAACTTGTTTCATATTTACTTTTGTGTGCTTATCTTGTCAGTGATTTGATTTGTTCTGTTTTAGGTGTAACTAATGCATTAGTGTCAAGTTCTTTTTGATGTAATATGGGTTCTGCTGGTTTCCCTTTGTTTGTTGAAACTAGGAGCAAGTCAAGTTTCATACTTATTCATGTGGCATTTAGTTTCTCTGAACATATCAAGGGCGTCCCATAAGCATTGAGCAGTCGGTGAAATTAATAATTGAGAACATTTCTGATTTAATCCGAAAAGCTTGGCCTTTGGGTTCCACAAGGTATCATGATGTTTTTTCTATGGGATCACTGGTCTTTTTTCAGAGTTGTTTTCTCACTGTCAATCATGTAGTATGATGTAGCTTTTAGTTGCACGTGTTTGTGCTTTTCATTCTAGTCAAATGATCTGCATTCTGCAAGGTATGTTAAACTACTTTATGCAGAACTTCAAGGAGGAACCTTGTGTGAATTGGAGGAATTGAATTCGTTGCATGGTGCTCTTCAGTAGTTATAGAATGGGAAATGCTGGGGCAATTTGTTGATCTAACGTGCTAATCAGTTCTCCATTTGATCATTGAGGAAAAGCACTATAATATTTAAGGCACCCTGTTCAATGTACTATAGCTGTTGTATTGTGTGTACATGTTATGTTAACGCAAATTTGGCGAGAAAATCAGTTGGAACTTCCCTGCATGAATATGATTTTCATTACAAAGATTTAAAGATTTCAATTCTGCATGTTTAATTGGTTTTGTATTTGAATTTCTGCTACCTTTTTCTTTTTTGGCAGCTGTTTGCTTATGATACGGTTAACAAGCAACTGTCACCAAAACCTGGAGAGGAGCCCATACTTCCAATTCCTGCCTCGTTAATTGCAGGTGCTTGTGCTGGAGTGAGCTCAACAATTTGCACATACCCTCTTGAGTTAATTAAGACGCGGCTAACCATTCAGGTACGTAACGATTAGCAGAAGTGTGTGCCTATCTCAAGTATGGCTGTAGCAATCACATAACTATGTCATTATATTTGCAGAGAGACGCTTATGACGGTCTTCTGGATGCATTCTTAAAAATAGTGCGAGAAGAGGGACCGGCAGAACTCTACAGAGGTCTTGCCCCTAGTCTTATTGGAGTAATTCCATATGCTGCCACCAATTACTATGCTTATGATACATTACGGAAAGCCTATCGCAAGTTTCTCAAGCAGGAGAAGATCGGCAACATTGAAACCCTTTTAATTGGATCAGCAGCCGGTGCTATTTCAAGTACTGCGACATTCCCACTTGAGGTGGCACGCAAGCACATGCAGGCGGGAGCCGTGAATGGAACACAACATAGAAATATGCTTCACGCCCTCACCAGTATACTTGAGAAGCAGGGGGTTGAGGGTTTATACAAAGGGCTAGGCCCGAGCTGCATGAAGTTGGTGCCTGCGGCAGGGATTTCTTTTATGTGCTACGAAGCGTGCAAGCGGATACTGGTAGAGGAAAAAGAGGAAGAGTAGAATATTTTCCTGAGAAATAAATTAATATTACATATCGGTCCTAGCAGGGGTAAGGACACGGGATAACTTATCTCCGACACAGGTTTACTCGCCCATTTTCTTCTTTTGATTGCTGGATATTTATTTTCGTTCCTTCACATTTTGCAACTGAGTTGAGGGGAGCCTTGTTTTTCAAGAGGTTAGACTTGATGCTTTTGAGGATTAATTTGAATGGCATTTGGCTTTTTTCGTCATTAACTGAGTGAGCAGATTACTGTTGACTTGATATGTTACATGCGGCTCCAAGGGTGGACACATTGTACGCATGCATTTCTTTGTGGGGTGCTCTTTATTTATTGCTTTGGAGGATTTGCCAGCAATTCCCTTTGCTATCCTTGTCCTTGCGTGTCAGCTCGTGTCGCCATTGGGGACGTACACTGCCGAAAGGCCACTACTGATTGGGTTGTATGTGACAAGAAATTATTGCATGGTACGGGAATGATCTTAAGCATAAGCTCCTTATTTGTATTATAACACGTGAATAAATTATATCATGTGACATAATTCCGGACAATAATCTTTTGCTGCGGACACTGCTTAGCTAATGCACACCTTCAACTATTGAGCCTTTTGATTTCTCTCTGTTTCTCTCTGTTTCTCTGAAGGCTGGCTGCTCACAACTACTTAATAAGGAAGGGTACACGATTGCACATCCAACACATCCAACACATCCAATTCCAATAGGCCTGTACTTGTTCTCTGTCTAACTCACCTTTCTAATTTGTTGAACATGCAAAGGGGACCCCACAATGGGGGAAATCTCAGCTATCACAGTTGTATGTTATCTTCCGTACGTCTCTCGTCACGTGACTCATTTTAGAAATAGACACAAGGGAGAAAACAACCGGCTTAAACAATGAGACAATGAGAGCGGTGCGGGGTGACCAGTAATTTCACTTTAGGGTTCACTTGCCAACAACCAGCAGAAAGAAGCAATAAAAACACCAGCTTCACACGCATTCTAGATGTCGAGCAGAAGGAAAGTCATTGGTCTACTAGAAGAGCATTTCAAATTCACAACATTCTAACACAAATGCCGGCTTAAACAATGAACCTAGGAACAATTTGAATCTTTTGGTAGCAGAAATAACGGTATTCTACAACAATTCCTAGAAGAAATTTTATCACAGCTAAATAAACACCACTAGAGAGACGAATCTAAGAACAAAAGTCGGACATCAGATGTATGTTTCAACTCTGCTCATACTCAATGCCTTCCTCGGCGGCGGCAGCAGCCGCAGCAGCAGCATCAGCAGCCATTATCTCGTCGAACTTCTCTGACTTTCCGAGCAGTATTTCAATCTAAATAACAAGGAATCACATGATACCATCAGCCTCCAAGACAAAATTAGAGAAGTAAATGAATAAATCCAAGTAATGTAATGCATTGTAAGGTCAAATTAGAAACTGAGAAAATCAAAGAGAAGAATGATTAAACCAACTCTGAAACTCATAAATTACTCGCAAACAACTTAAAGAACAAACCCTGGTTAAACAAGCACTTCACATGTAAAAGGAGGAGCAGAGAATATATTTTTACAATCAGAAAGAACTAAGCCAACACTTTGCCTTGAAGGTCTGACAATTCAATTAATGAGATCAATTATCTAGAGAGTCGGATAGCTAAGGAGCTGACACCTAAGTCCTCACCTCTTACGCATAAGCATCTAATATATTCCAATACCATGTCCATGCCCCGAAGAATGGACAGACCATCGCGCAGGGGCCAGTGGTTGATTGAATTCAGAAACAAGCAAACTATGAAAACTACGATGCCCCATTTACGAGAACAAGCACTACTTTATTAATATGAAGCTCCTTTTCTTTCAAACCATTAAAACTATATTTGCCCATCTTAACGTTCACATATAAGGTTAGTTGCTAGCATCTAACAATGTTTCTAGAATCCCCTACTTTGGTGCATATTACCTTTGCCTTTTGAATTGGCCGCCCTCCTGCATCCTCCCTCATGTTAATTGTCGAAGTCATGATTCCTGTATGTGTTGCATACAACAGCAAGTTGAAATATACACGAGGAACAATTACTACACAAGAAAAGGACTTCAGAAAGGCACAAGAACAGTACTCTTCTCAACGGCCAATCCATTATTCTTCAGAATCTCGGCAATGGTAACCACTGTGGCAATAGCTGCAGATATACAAGCAAATTGTGAATCCTTAGTACACAAAAGATACAAAGCTTCCACTTCAAAAATAACAAATATAATGAACGATTTGACACGGTCGAGAAATGATTATGGAAAAGCCAATGCCTAGGCAGCATTACAGTTCTGATCCATAAGCGCACTCATGACAAGAGAGACGATAATCAAAATGAAGACATAAAAGCATCGACAACCCAATAATAACCTAACTGAATTACCGAAAAGAAAAAAAGGAAGGGCTAAGGTAATGAAACAGTACCCATTCCGAGAGCGGAGAGCTCCACCTCGTTGTTCTGCTGCATGTACCTCTGCAAATACCAAATTGAAAACCACTGAGTCACTCAAAACACACACACTACTGTAAGTAAGAATAAACATGAATACAAGATGAAATCAACAAAAGTCTGCAGCCACCAAAAAATCGACAGCGAAACAGATGAACAAGGAGAAAAGGGTTTTTGGATTTGGTTTTTGTTACCTTGGCGAGATTGACATAGAAGAAGACGGGCTTTTTGGTGTTGGAGACTTGGATGCGATTCTTATTGTTCTTGTTGTACGATGCGTCTGTAATTTGCAAGTTGTTCACTTCTTCTGCCAGACCCTCCATTGCTTCTTCTTCTTCTTCTTCGGCTCTGCAGAGAGGGAGAAGAAAAACCCTAATTCCTCTTGTTGGACTACCGAAGGTTCCGAGGGGGTTTGAAGAAGTGCTCCAGTCCAGTCCTATTGGCTCTACAAGTCAACAAGCCGTTTTACAACTCATCTTGCCGAAATGACATATTTGCCCTCCCAATTTATTTTTTTTACTTTCACAGGTGGTGTTCAATTTAGTGTACTAATCTAAACTACGTAAAGGAAGATTCAAATTTGATACATAAGGGAGCACATTAGCTCTCACAAATGCGGCCTTGTTTTAGCATGATGTACTTTGCTACTTTAGTGGTGGTAATATGGTATGATCGAGAAAAATTTGAATAAGACAACCTAATCAACCAGCTAATCAAATCACTCTCACAAACGATGAGTCCACGCGCATTAAAAGTTGGTACCCAAGTGCAGTTGGATCCGTTTGCCGGAGGAGTGCTAGTCATCTAGCTTGTCAAGCTGTACTACTCAAGTTTTTCTCCATGCTTCATCAGAGCATCAGTCATGCGATTGTGAATATGTTTGCAACAAAAAGTGGCTGCATAGTTATTGTGTTCAACCTATATGAACTTAGGAACATAGGCTTGTTCAATGAAAGAATCAGTATTTCAATTGTAATGCTTACATCGACCAAAACAAAGCTTGTCCTTTAAAAACAGACCAATTACTGAAATAAATAGCTTTCTACATCCTCCCCTCGAGTCCTTTGACAACAACCATTACAACAATACTGCACAACAAACAATGGCTAAGATCATCAAAGTTCAAGAAAACATACTTCAGTAGCGAACAATAAATACTAGACAAGGGGACAATAAGAACGATACACAAGGCGTTCTCTCGTTTCTCTTCCACCTGACTCCCTTTTGGATGAGGAGACCCTGTGTACAAGTTCAGTCGACGATTTACTTGATTTCTTGTATATACACACTGATGGTGTGGAGAGATGCCGGTTCCACAAAATTATTGTATTTCAAATGAACTAACAGTTGATGCCACATTGACCGTTTGATGCAGCTTTTGTCTTGTCCGAAGTGAATGGGTCGATGCGCACCCACAACAAGGAAAATATTGATGCAAGAAGAATAGACCACACGATGACGATTGTAGGGGTGCGATTTTGCCGACCCAACAGACCCTTCAAGAATGGATACAGATGTGCTACGACCCATAGGGCGAAAAACAGTTTGCCGAAGAGTGGACCCCAAGATTGGTAACCGCTATTTATGGCATATGAAACACCGGCCACAATACCTACCATGTTCACAAGAAGAACCGTGGTTGGAGGGATGAGAAGTGATGTCCATTTGAACACGTACAGCTCAGCAAAATCCCCATCCTCATCAGATGCCTTTGACGTCACAGTGAAGTTGGTATCAATCCCAGCAAGAACTTTCAGGAGACCTTGGAAGACAGCGAAGAGATGAGCTGATGTTCCACCAATGATCCAGAACTGTTCGTTTCTCCACCAGTCTTCAATACTAACTCCACTCCACCTTAGCTCAAGGATACCGGTTGCAATAATAGAAACAAAGAGCAGAATGAACCACATGCTAGCGAAATTACTTATCTGCATAAACATTCAACAAATTTAGTGGCTGCCCAAAATGATGATCTGGAGTGTGAAAAGCCTAAAGAATCATCTTAAAGAATTCTTCCAAAAGTTGCAGAATTAGTATTTTATTTTTTTTATGTTTCAAGTAAGATCGACACAGAACCAGTACTTACCTCAGGAATGATAAACTTTTCTGTGAGAAGGCAAAAGGCAGGAAGTAAACAGTATGCAATCAGTGGTATAGATGTGAGGGGGTAAACGATGGTATTGATGTATGCAAGTCTCTCCAAAAGTTTCAACTTGCCATTGTAGCCATACCATATGGGACAATGCCTGCTGAGCAAAATTTCAATGGAACCCAAGGCCCATCGAAGCACTTGGTTCAAACGATCAGAAAGATTGATGGAGCAGAGCCCTTAAATGCTGGGCGGGGAGGCATGCAATAGACTGATATCCAACCACGAGCATGCATCTTAAACCCAGTTAAAATATCTTCAGTCACAGAGCCATAGATCCATCCAATCTGGTGACAAAACAAAATGTCAATTATTGTGGATCTAAAATCACAAGTTCATTCATTAAGTATTTTTGGAACAAGGGCTACTAGGACCTATATCGCTATACTGACCTCTTTTCCCCATTCACTCTTGTCTTCATATCCACAGCTAATAACATGTATGGCTTCCTTCAAAAGAGTTGCAGGATTGGTTGTAGGCGGAATGCCTCCTTGTTCCATGAATGTGGCTGCAATAAAAACTGGTGATTGACCAAAACGCTTCTCTAAGCTCTTCTGGGACATAAGAAGAGTCCTCTCATCATCATAACCTGCAGAATATGAAGTTATCTCCGTCAAATTTGCAAAGCATGGATCCATCAAAGATCATTTTGTTTCTGCTAATTCTATCAAACTCCGAATAATTTTATTTCTTTTTAAGTATTGTCAAATGAGCAAAATTGTTAAAATTTTCCTTGTTATATGTGATGCAATGGACACAATTTCATGAATAACTCACAACATTACTGTACGCGGTAAGATATTTGGAGAAAATAATTTCAATAAAAAAGATAATAAGAAGCGACCTTCAACACCCTCTTCAATGTCTTCCATATTAAAAATGGGAATGGTGGATTCCGTTCTTTTAACCGCCCTTTTCTTGTCAATATACTTCTTATTGCTAGTCTTATTCTTCTTTCTTGAACCACAACAACTCTTGACAATAATGTTTGGTTGCAAATCTTCCTCAGTCAAAACCGGATCGTACCCATATAGAGCTTGTCTGTTGAAACAACAACCAGTTCCCACATAGACTGGGCCCTGGATGCCATCCAGCCCTTTCAAGTTGATCTGCAAGTAAGATGAAATACGAATGTATTTTAACAGAGTGTATCCATACTAACTTTCAGAGTGATATTAGTAACTGGTAGTTATAAATCAAGTAGCACATACATCAAAGAAGACAATGTTCCGATTGGCATATCTATCGTGCAAATCAATGCCATCAAATCGCTGAGGGAACTGGACATAGCAGGTCTTCTTCCCATAAGCTGGGTCCATCATGAAACACATGGCTTCCTTAAGAGCTTTACTATTATTGAAGTAGTGATCACAATCGACATTCAAGAGATATGCACCATTTGTCAGGACGGCTGAAACTCGAATCTATATGGCACATGGTGAACCAAGTTAGAAAATCACAATGGTTTTGGTACTGACTTCAATTCATCAGGGAACAATCTTATCTTACTAAACCTGTTTAAGAGACTGACATTTTGTACCATAAAATGTGTCATGGTGTAATTGATCAAGGAAATATTGAGGGTTCTAACTGGTAAAGGAAATTTTGAAGATCCTAATTGGAAAAGAAATTATTGAGGATCCTACTTGGCCAAAGAAATATTGAGGGTTCTAACTGGTCAATTTGGAATTTGTCCAGCTTTAGCATAAATGTTGACAAAGTATAGTTCCAAACAAGTCAAACCACTGGCATTACCACCGAGAAAAGAAATATTATATCATAATCAATTTGAGGGGAAACAAACCAATGCATTCATTGCTCCAGCTTTTTTGTGATGCTGGAATCCAGGTCGCTTCTCACGAGAAACATAAACAAGTCGAGGCAGCTCATTGCCATCAGTATCAAGGCCCCCACTGTGGCCTAAGAAAACCTGTTCTTCCACACAATGGAAAACTAAATTAGTATGAAAGCAAGAGGAGGCAGAAACCCAAATGCACTGGATAAAAATCCAAGTACCTGGATCATTCCTGGATGGTCCCTAGAGTTGTTCCCAGGCCATGGAGTCCCATCCTGCATTGTCCAACCTTCTTCAGGCATTTTCTGTGCCTTGGCAACTAAGGCATTGATCCGAACCTTGAATTCTTCATACTCTCTCTGTGGGAAAAACAAAATGCATTGAGACTCCATTCATAGTGCTAAAAATGAATGTAAGTTTACCACAATCTGCTCTCTAAACATCCGTTAACTCTCTTAGGTATAATTAACTCACGATTTCAAATTTAAAACTATTTGAACGGATTGCAGCAATAATCTACCAAAGCATAACACTGTGTTTCATTTTCCTTTTGTGCACTAGCGTCAAACTTCAAATTATAAGCAGGATCAATCAGGATCAATCAATGTTTTAAAGCTGAAAATCAGATGGGAACTGATATTGCTTTAAAAGTAATGCACCACTACAAGGATGATTATGTTATTTTAAGCAGGCAAGATATGCAAAGAATTGCAATAATAATCCTGTTTGAAATAGCACAAAAGAAAGAATCATGTACTAACTAATTTTGAGAAACTATGCAATATTGAACCTGCGTGCACTCACCTTCATTGCTCTACGCTCTTTTACAAAAGAAGGCTGTATCTTGTCCTTTAAGTAATCAATCTTTTGGGCAAAATAAAACTCAGGGGCTCTAGGTTCAATGTTGTGTTTCTTGCAAAAAGGTACCCACTTCCTAGCAAACTCCGCAGTTTCAGAAAGAGATTCAAATGTAAGCATTGCTGACCCATCATCTGAAACATAGCAAGAGACTTTGTCCACTGGGTAATCCACAGCAAGTATGGACAAAACAGTGTTAGCCGTAATCAGAGGAGGCTCTTTCATGGGATCCACTGTACTGACAAACACATCTATGGGAGCTAACTGGGATGGCTCTCCATCACGATCATACCTGCATGGCGAAAACTATGTTTAGGTAAATAAAAACAATAATGAAACTAATTTTTTAAACCTCAACAACTATAGATTGTCACAAATATTGCAAAGTTGGCCAACCTCAGTGCGAGCCTATCAAGATAGGTCTCACGGTTAATGGGAAACCATTTTGGAAACTGATCCAGAAGCCAGGATAAAGCAAACCAAATCTCACAGATGACTGATGTTAACCATAATGGGTATGCATCTTTCACTGGGTGAGTTGCACGGTATTGCAAGAAGAATCCCAGAATAATAAGCCGGAGTATGATCACAACACGATAAGGTGTCA